AAGATTTTATTAAACATAAATTTTACCATGTAATATTTGATAAAATAAAGGGTTTTTCTCAACATAATAATTAATTTTATTTTTTTAAATTTACATCCAAATTAGTTAGCATCTAATGCAACAATGATTTCAGGAGTAGATTCCTTAATGCCCCTTACCCATTTAGCCCATCCCCCCTCCCACAACCCCTCCAGTAACCCTCTGTTTGTTCTCCATATTTATGAGTCTCTTATGCTTTGTCCCCCTCCCTGTTTTTATATTATTTTTGTTTCCTTTCCCTTGTGTTCATCTGTTTTGTCTCTTAAAGTCCTCATATGAGTGAAGTCATATGATATTTGTCTTTCTCTGAATAATTTCACCCAGCATAATACCCTCCAGTTCCATCCACGTAGTTGCAAATGTCAAGATTTCATTCTTTTTGATTGCTGAGTAATACTCCACTGTGTGTGTATATATATGTATATACATGTATATATACCACATCTTCTTTATCCATTCATCCATCGATGGACATTTGGGCTCTTTCCATACTTTGGCTATTGTCAATAGTGCTGCTCTAAAGATGGGGGTGCATGTGTCCATTTGAAACACCACACCTGTATCCCGTGGATAAATGCCTAGTAGTGCAATTGCTGGGTCGTAGGGTAGTTCTATCTTTAATTTTTTGAGGAACCTCCATACTGTTTTCCAGAGTGGCTGCACCAGCTTGCATTCCCATTAAATTCCACATTTAAGAGTGAAATCATATGGTATTTGTCTTTTGCTCACTGACTTATTCTGCTTAGCATAATACACTCTAACTCCATCCATGTTGTTACAAATGGCAAAATTTCATTCTTTTGGTGGCTGAGTAATATTCCACTGTGTGTGTGTGTGTGTGTGTGTGTAATATACAACATCTTCTTTATCCATTCATCCGCTGATGGACCCTTGGGCTCTTTCCATAACTCGACTATCGTTGATAATGCTGCACACTGGTGCACACACCCGTTGAAATCAGGATTTTTGTATCCTTTGGGTAAATACCTAGTAGTACAACTGCTGGATCATAAGGTAGTTCTATCTTTAACTTTTTGAGGAGCCCCCATACTGTTTTCCAGAGTGGCTGCACCAGTTTGCATTCCCCCCAACAGTGTAAGAGGCTTCCCCTTTCTCTGCATCCTCACCAACATCTGTTGTTTCCTGTGTTGTTAATTTTAGCCACAATCGCTGATATTTTTACAGACTTCTTAAAGCTATCTGTTATAGCAAATCCTTTGTAGCTACTGCTCTCTCTCTACAAGGAAACTCATCTTTCCCTCCTTTCCCTGGTAGATTCTTCCTTGTTTTTCAAACTTCATTTTCTTGGGGAAACTATGTGTTCTCCTACCCACCACTGGCTGCAGTGCCCTTGGTTTTAAACCCCATGATTTCTCTATGCTTCTCACCTCTGGTACCGATCTGTCTCTTTTTCATTTTTTACTTATGTATCTGTTCTCCTCACTAGCTTATAATCTGCTGGAGAGTAGCGACTGCATTTTAATCATTGTTGACGTTTCCATAATGGCCGCTCCGTGGTCAGACTTAGGTAAAATCATTTGCTAGCATCATTTGCTATGGGAACTCTGAGCCCCAGTTTCCTCACTTGCAAAATGATGTGGTATTTTTATCTGCAGCACTTGGCACACAGAAGGTGCTCAGTAAGTTGTGTGGAATGAATCCATGCAGAGTTCCCAGGGGACGAATATCTCAGCAGGGGAGTAAGGATGACTCACTTCAGTCAATCTTGATCCCTCTCCCCTCTCTCCCCTCTGAAAGAGGAGTGCTTGGCTTCCTCTCTAGGACCATTATGCCTTGAAAGTGGTGAGGAAAATCTGAAAAATGCAGCCTCTTTTCTTTTTCATGTTTATCCATGTGTTGACCTAAGGAATTCAGGATATCTCAGAGGGCAAAAATTTCCCAAAGATGCCATTGTCTGACCATTCTTACAAAGCTGTCTAAACATAGTGTTACTTTAGGACCCAAATTTTCTTAGATGTGGATGTGTTAGTTATAGACTGGAGGAAGCAAAGGAATCATGTACCCATTCTGCAGATGGAAAACCTCGCAATCTTCCCTAAACTCCTCAGAGCCCAAGAACTCATATAACCTGGCAAGAATCTACCCAGAAGAGCCCTCCTGCCCAGTGTCTCCTCTCCCCCAGTTAATTTTTTTTGATGTTTATTTATTTTTGAAAGAGAGAGAGAGAGCACAAGTGGGGAAGGAGAGATTGAGAGAGAGAGAGAGAGAGAGAGACGCAGAATCCAAAGCAGGCTCCAGGCTCTGAGCTGTCAGTACAGAGCCTGACGCAGAGCTTGAACTCATGAACCATGAGATCCTGCCGTGAGCCAAAGCCTGATGCCATCGAGTTAAATACATATTCCCCCAGTTAAATATATATTCTCTTTTTGTTCTTACTTTGGAGGCAGCATCCCCGTGGAGCTGCCCTATTGTGAATGAGTTTCTAGAACAAAGAAAGACAGTTGACCCTTCTCAATGTGTCTATAAGACCTGGAGCAGAGTCATGGAATGGACTGTGCGCTCCATGAAGGTTCATAGCAGCATTATTCGTAAAAGCCCCAACGTGAAAACAGCCCAAACATCCATCAACCAATAAATGGGTACATAAAATGTGGTGTATCCCTACATGGAATATTAGCAGAAAAAAGAATGAAGTACAGACGCGTGCTACAACTTGGGTGAATCTTGACATCATACTAAGGGAAAGAAGCCAGACGCAAAAGACCACATAACATGTGATTCCATTTATATGACATGTCCAGGGTAGGCCAATTTATAGAGACAAAAAGTAGGTTAGCTGTTGCTTGGGGCTGGGGGTGGGGACTGGGAAGCAATGGGGAGTGGCCACTGATGGGGGTGGGATTTCTTTCTGGGGTGATGAAAACGTGGTAAAATTGATTGCACTGTTGGTCACACAACTCTGTGTATATACCAAAAGCCACTGAACTGTACACGAAAGTGCACATTGAAAAATGTGCAAATTGTGTTTCAGTAAAGCTGTTAGGAAGAAAGAGATCTTGGAAAGAGTTGGGGCGGGGAGAAAAAAAGAGACTGGATTGTGCTCTCTCGTGTATCGACTCCTGCAAGCATTCATTTTGCAGGAGAAAGAAGCAAGATCCTAACAGTGGGTCTGAGACAGATTTTCTGGCCATCAGGTCTTCCTCTCCCCCCCAGTAGAGAAGAATTAGTGATCAGAGCAGGCTCTAGCTGCATAGCCTTTAAGGTTAACTTTTGCAAACTATTGCTAACTTTTGCTTTTCCATTTCCTTTCTTTCGGTCTTCTTCTCCTTCCCAGGGACCCAGTCGTCCTACAGGTAGAGCAGGTGCACTACAACTTGGATCACAAACTGGGGCAACTGATCTGTCTGGAAAGTGTGTTGAAGACAACACTGATTCAGGGTGCAGTGCCCTGAGTTCGAGGTCTGCCTTCAGCGTTTCTCTGTGCCAGATGCTATAAGGACAGACCCTTCCTGTAGGAGACTTGTGGTCAAGCAGGGAGATTAGCCAATTCATGTCAAGAGAGAGCTCAGAGGGGCACCTGGGTGGCTCAGTTGGTTAAGCGTCTGACTTCGGCTAAGGTCATGATCTCACGGATTGTGAGTTTGAGCCCCGCATTGGACTCTGCTCTGCCAGCAAGGAGCCTGCTTGGGATTCGCTCCCTCTCCCTCTCCCTTTCTCTCTCTGCCCCTCCCACGTGGGCTCCCTCTCTCTCTCAAAAATAAACAAACATTAAAAAGAATGAAAAGAAAGAGCTCAGAATGCAGGTGTTTCTGCCTTTTCTTCTCCATGAGGTATTGAATGTGAGGCTGGCCAAGGGATGTCAGCTTGGCAGGAGGCACAGCACCAACCGCTACGTGTCTGCCATCAAATTCTGCTTAACATGTAAAACTTCCTTTTCTCACAAGTGACTATCTATGCCACTCTCTGTCAAGGTGAACACTGGGACTGTGTTTCTCTAAGTAATGTAGGTCCAGCTTACTTTAAGAGCAAGGAGGCGTAGGGCAAGGCCACACTCAAGCCATTGCCAAAGAAAGCAAGAGTGAATGCTGGGATTATTCCAGAACTTGCCTTGATGACTGAAGAGCTGTGGTTAGGGCAGGAACAGCTGGACTCACCCAATGATATGGGACAAACCAGGAAGTAAAGGGTTAACTGTCAGGGCTTTTTGGACCCTGAAGACACTGCTGCACTATAACCCTTGTGACTATGCTCTAATCATTGCTACCTTGTTTCACGTTGCTTTGAATCTTTGGATTCCTTCAACCATGCCACCGAAAAACTAGTATCTGAAAAAACTGAGCACCACTGGATTACCTACTTATTCCCGAAAGTACCCCACTGATTAAGATTGCCAGACAAAATACAGGACACCCAGTTAAATTTGAATTTCATATAAAACAACAGTGCTTTTTTTTAGTATAAGTGGGGTAGCCCATGAAATATGTGTTTGTCTGAACTTCCAATTTAATTGGGAGTTATTCATTCATTCATTCATTCATTTGCTAAATCTGGCCACCCTACTTCTGATTCCCTTTGCCAAGTGATAGCAGCGCCCACTTCAGATACTGTTTTGTAACGTGTGCGCCATCTAGTGGTCACACGAACAAGGAGGAAACCAAGAAATCACTTTATTTTTTATTTATTTATTTTTTTATTTTTTTTTCAACGTTTTTTTATTTATTTTTGGGACAGAGAGAGACAGAGCATGAACGGGGGAGGGGCAGAGAGAGAGGGAGACACAGAATCGGAAACAGGCTCCAGGCTCCGAGCCATCAGCCCAGAGCCTGACGCGGGGCTCGAACTCACCGACCGCGAGATCGTGACCTGGCTGAAGTCAGACGCTTAACCGACTGGGCCACCCAGGCGCCCCAAGAAATCACTTTAAAACAGCGGCGTGAGAAAACTGCAAAGACACAACTCTGCTTTCCTTTTTCAAATGTTTTAGATTTTGCTTTACTTACCTCTTTGGATGTGGTGTCTGTGATCAAATCAACAGCCCAGAGCGTCCAGCAGATACCTGAAATCCCTTGTAAGTCATGCCGTGTTCAAAGGGCAACACTCACCCCACCTGCCGGAGGCCTTGGGCTCCCCCATTAACACATAAACGTGAAAGTGCAGCCTTGTCCTTGATCTACTGTGGTTCCCAGTTCCTAGTAATTGTTTTACAATAAGCACGTGGCTTTCAGCAGCATCTAGTGTATTACATGTCAGGCGCAATTTTACTAAACCCCACTGGGCCTACAGGGAGACGGGGAAGCAAGTATTTCCTATTTCCTATTTACCGAAGGGGTATGGCGTTAAAGGGTCAAAGGGAAGCGGCACAATCCAATGAGTCTCTGGCTGCACACTGGAATCACCTGGTCTTTTAAAAAAAATACCTATGCCCGTGCCTTCCTCCTCCCCCCCCCACCCCACCCCTTCCTCAGCCCCTTCCTCCTTTTCCTCTTCTACTTGTTCCGTTTAGATCACGTGAGTTCTACATCTGCACGGCATTGCTTTAAAGTAGCTCGTCATACAGTGTGGAAGATTTAGTAAGAGATGGACACTGAAATCCAGGTTTCACTTTAACGCTTGACATCTTTTAGGGACAAAATCTCTTATCCTCCGTGTATCCATAGAGGCTGATACGCTTTATTTTGTTTTGTTTCACAGACAGGGTTGAAAGGTGCAGGAGCTTCTCTGTCTCCAATTTTGTCTTCTGTGGTTCTGTGATCTCATCACAAACACTCATTATGAAATGATGTAGAAACTCCGTTTGCAATTGAGCCCAGGATAAAAGCCCAGAGCTCCATTTGTTCTTTGAATAGATTTTAGAATAAGCTGAGAGGGAGTTTTGGATAGAAGTTTATTTTCAAGTACCCTCCGAATTGAGAAGGTATCTCTATAATTATGACAGTAGTTGTAATCATAATGATTTAAAAAATGCCTGCCTGGGGAGCCTGGGTGGCGCAGTCGGTTAAGCGTCCGACTTCAGCCAGGTCACGATCTCGCGGTCCGTGAGTTCGAGCCCCGCGTCGGGCTCTGGGCTGATAGCTCAGAGCCTGGAGCCTGTTTCCGATTCTGTGTCTCCCTCTCTCTCTGCCCCTCCCCCGTTCATGCTCTGTCTCTCTCTGTCCCAAAAATAAATAAACGTTGAAAAAAAAAATTTAAAAAATGCCTGCCATTCATTGAGAGGCTCTTCTCTGCCAGATACTAACCAGGATGCTTTACACACATTATTTTTTTTTTTTAACTCTCAAAGCAACCCAGCAGGCTGGGAACCATATCCCCATGTTCCATCCCAGGAAACTGAGGCTCAGAGCCTGTATTTCCTAACAGGATACAGCTGGTAAGTGGCAGGGCTGTCTTCCACACCCGGCTTTGCCTGGCTGAAAAGGCTTTGCTTTTCCTACTCCGATGCTCTGTCAAAGCTACAATATGCGTAGTTCAGGTTTCTTTCCGGTTCAAGCTCACACTTGGGATGGCGAGCTCTCTTCCAAGTCCCTCGCATGTCAGTGACGGTTTCCAGCCACAGTCGCCCAGTATTTTGAGGTACTTGAAACCGGATTTTAAAAAATACTCACTTCCTTCTGGCTGGCTCAAGGAATCGAAAAGCAGGTTTCATTTTTTTATGACACCTTTGAGTAGCTGGGTCACCTTGGGAGTCTTATTGGGGCTATGGTGACGATGTGACAGGCTGTCTCTAAGGATCTGTGGAGGGTGAACAAGAAAACAACCAACCATTCATGAAAGCAGGAGTGGAGATATTACCAACACAGAAACTATTTCAGAATCAATCCATTCCTCATGCCTCAAGGCCCCTCATGCTGAAATGATGTAGCCTCCTCTGGGACACTTTCTGCCACCTGCCTCTGCCCATGGGGGTGCGGGCCATGAACTGCTCTCACGAGGCTCCCACCAGTTCTTGCTTTTGCCTCGGTTCTCCTGCTCAGCACACTGTATCAGAAGCAGTGGGCTGGCGGGGGGTGGGGGGGGGTGGGGGGTGGGGGGTGGGGGTGTATGCACATCCCTTCCTCCAGAGGATGAGCCCCCTGGGCTGAGCAGAATGGGTCTAGACTGGCTCAAGCTTCCTCGGGAAGTTTGTGGGTGTCCAAGAGGAAGGAGTCCCAGGGCACACGGAGCAGGCAGCAGGTTAGAAAGAGGCACCTTTGCAGGGCTTTGCTTGGGGTCTCAGGATTGCATGGATTTGGCTCTAGGGAGGGCTTTGAATACCATGACGGTATCGTGGTGAGGTAAATCCTGTCCACCGCACAGCCTGTGGTTTCTCTGAGCACCCTAGATTTTCCTGAACACCTGTAGCCTCTCCTCTGTGACCCCCTGGCTGGCTGTCATAGGACTTAACACACTCATTCTTCCATTCAGCAAGTTCTTCTTGAGAGCCTCTTAGGGACTGGGGATAAATACTGAGCAAAACTCTCCCCAGCTCCTACCCCCATGGAGCTTACAGATAGGGGGAAAGGTTTACAGTCTTTGTTTGGGACTGAAAGTGTCCAGTACATGGTGAGCTCCTCGAAAGTACAGGTTGAGTTGTATTTACTTTTCAACATTTCCATTTTATTTTATTTTTTAATTTATTATGTAATTCATACAGCATAAAATGCACTATTTTAAAGTGGGCAATTTATTTTACTTATTTTTTTTTAATTTTTTTTTTTTAACATTTATTTATTTTTGAGACAGAGAGAGGCAGAGCATGAACGGGGGAGGGTCAGAGAGAGAGGGAGACACAGAATCAGAAGCAGGCTCCAGGCTCTGGGCCATCATCAGCCCAGAGCCTGACACGGGGCTCGAACTCACGGACCGTGAGATCGTGACCTGAGCTGAAGTCGGACGCTTAACCGACTGAGCCACCCAGGCGCCCCTAAAGTGGGAAATTTAAACCATCTTAGTATATTTGCAAGGTTCATAGTATATAGCCAGTACATTGCTATCTAATAGCAGAACATTTTCACCACCTCCCAAAGAAACCCCACACCCATTAGCCATGGCTCCCCATCCCCTCCTGGCCCCCAGGCCCTGGCAACCACCAATCTACTCTCTGTTCTATGGGTTGGCTTTTTCTAAACATTTCACGTGAATGGAATCATGCCATATATGGTCTTTTGTGTCTGACTTCTTTTTCTCAGCAGAACCTCACCAAGGCTTATCCACACTGCAGCGTGTGTCTGTACTTCGATTCTTTTTATGGCCAATAAATTCCATGATGGGAATATCCCACCTTCCATGTAGTTGGCCACCAGTTGCTGGATGATTACGTTGACTTTTGCATCTTGTGCCTCCGTGACCTCTTCCTGCCCTCTGGCTCTTTCTTCTTGCCTCTCTCTCTCTCCTCCATTCCTCCTTCCTTCCCTTGTTCCCGCTTTCCTCTCTCAGATGCTTCTTATCCCACACCTACTGTGTTACGGGCACTGTAATTAACCATCTGATTAAGGCTCCAGCCTGAGGTAAACTGAAAGGCACCGCGTACAGTTCTTTTAAATGAATGCTTCATTTTAAAATAGTTTATAGATCTGCAGGGAGGTTACAAAGATAGTGCAGGATTCCTGTATGCCCATCACCCCGTTCCCCCTGTTGTTAACATCTCACACACTATGCTGCATTCATTCCAGCTGAGGAGCCAGGACTGTGACAGAGCTGTCCCCTCAACCCTCCACTTTGTTCTGATTTCACTAGTTTTTCCCTAACGGCCTTTTCCAGGTTCCGGGACCCCATCCAGGTGCCTTTAATCATTGGGTCTTCTTAGGTTCCTCTGATCTGTGACAGTTTCTCAGGCTTCCCTTGTTTTTTGATGACCTTGACAGTTTTGAGGGGTACTGGTCAGCTTCTTGGTAGAATGTCCCCCAGTTTGGGTTTGTTTGATGGTTTTTTCGTGGTCGGACTGGGTTTTACAGGTTATCGGGGATGGCCACAGAGGTGAATAAAGGCACAATTTTAAAACTGCTGTCGGGG